ATCAATCCATTATCATGTATAAGAATAGAGTGTGATATCGTACATGGTGCATTTGTTAACGGACGCGAGACGTGTTCAATTTATGAGTTTTATCCTTTGGTGTCGCCCGGCTATAAGATTGTAGAATCACCTAACAATCTGATTTATTACCCTGTAATGACTAATCAAGTAGATAACGTAAAAATTGAAATTAAAGATCAAAACGGAGAACTTGTCGATTTCAGAGGTGAGAGTGTAACAGTTCGTGTTCATATCCGTTATGGGAGTACGATATAACGTTAAAAGAAAACGTTTTGACGACATTGACAACAGTTGTGTTTCAAAATTTCCAGTGTTAACAAAGGATAGCTTGAATACTCTCTTAAATCTTGGTTACACGCTTGCAAACCATTATGGAAGACATTCTGAACATACACGAAAAACCATACTTCGAAGAAAGTATAACAAAATTTGAATATCATTCGTATCAACCGTTTTCTAGTAATGCGCTGTCGAATAACGATGAAATACGAATTGCGATACAACATCAAGATTTGTACACTCTACCCAGCGAATCGTTACTACACATCGAAGGTGAAGTAGAAAAAAATATGGAATCGGTGGGTGAAGGTGCGTCATTTGTTAAAATAATTAACAACGGTATTATGTTTCTGTTTGATGAAATTCGTTACGAATTAAACTCGGTCGAACTCGATAAAATAAGAAATCCTGGTATAACGACATGTATGAAAGGTTATGCGTCTTTTCAAACGGCTAACCTTTACCGATATCAAAACGCTGGATGGAATGAGAGCGGTGAGAGTAAGACAAACTTTGAAGTTTGTATACCCCTTAAATTAATCATGGGGTTTGCGGAAGATCATCGCAAAATTATAATAAATTCTCGTCAAGAACTTATATTGCATAGATCTAGCGTGGATATTAACGCGTTAAAATGTGAACGAGGCAATGGTAAAATAAAAATCGCGAAAATTATGTGGAGAATGCCGCATATAAACGTCGAGGATGGTGTTAGATTGCAACTTTTGAAGACATTAGATTCTCGTCAACCACTTTACATTGCTTTTAGAAGCTGGGAATTATTTGAACATCCATATTTACCACAAACAACAAATCATTCGTGGGCCGTTAAAACGTCAACGCACACTGAAAAACCTAGATATGTGATTATAGCGTTTCAAACTAAACGTAAAAACATTATATCTGCAGACATGAGTCGATTCGATCATTGTNTAACATTATATCTGCAGACATGAGTTGATTTGATCATTGTTCTCTATCATCGCTCAAAGTTTTTTTAAATTCAGAGTCTTATCCATATGACAGTTTAAACATCGATTTTGATAATGATAAATATTCAGCGTTGTATCAAATGTATTCATCGTTTCAAGATACTTTCTACAATATCGATAATGGTGATCCTATTTTGACTNATCTATAATATCGATAATGGTGATCCTATTTTGACTAAAGATGAATTCAAAGACATTGCACCTATGGTTGTCATCGATTGTTCGAAACAGAATGAAAAAATTAAAAGTGCACATGTAGACGTTCGAATTGAATTCGAAACCAAGATTCCTATACCAAAAGATACGTCAGCATATTGTCTTATACTACATAATAAGATTTTCGAGTATAACGCTATGACTAGCGAAGTACACAAGGTGGTTTAATTTATGAAATAAAAAATTAATATAAGTATAATATTTTTTTTAATTTAAAACAATTACTATTGTACATAATTAGTTATAATTTTTAGTTATTTATGTTTTACATTTAATGATTAAATTTAAATTTATTTACAATATTATACATTATTAATATATTTATAAATTTATTTATTACTATTGTTATTGAAATAGTTATTTAACTTTTTTTTTTTCCAATGTTTTTGTTCATATTCTTTGAATACAGCTAGTGATAATTCATCTGTCTCTCGAGCACATTCTTCGTCGTCAAATTCATTATTTCAACTCCTAACGTCTTCTGAAATACGATAATAATTTTATTACTATTTAAAACAGATTTATAATTTTTTTTTACTTACTTATCATTTCTTGGTAATCTGATGTCTTTACATCATCAACCCACGTTCCCTGTGTTATTAGGTCCAATAAATCTTCTTCCGTATCAAAATTCAACCATGGAGGTGTTCCGAGATGAAGACAATTTCCATTAACTGATTCATTATTTAACTGATTCTATTATTATAATAAAAACATGAAAATTTTTTAAATATATATAAAATATTAAACACATACCGTTTCATTTAACCAAGTTTGATGTTGGGCCGCATCGATCATCGAATATGATGCAGGATTTTCTATTTCATTAACTATATTTAAATAATAATCATCCATATTCCAAAAATCTGGTAATAATTCTTGAGACTGCGAAAATATATATATTTTATTATAATCGCATAAATAAAATTATTTTTAAATTACTTACCATTGTTTGGGAAAGCGGTTCAATTTTCATCTCGTTTATTATATCTGCGAATTCTTCTTCGCCAAGTAGTGGAGACAACGGTTCACTTTTCATATTATTTAGAATTTGTAAAAATTCTTCGTTGTTAATACTTTGTGATGACATGTTGCTTATACGCTTTTGATCGAATGACTGTGATCACACATACTCTTATACAATCTTACAGTAGAATTTCAAAATGATGAATTAGCATTTCTTTTGACACTGCGATCGGTTTAAAATTGGTTGACGTTTTAAAAACAATTGCTGGAATGGGTACTGTGAGATATATATCAGTTTTTAAATTTACTTCGTTATATTTTTGTCTTAAAATTTGCTGATTATGTGTTATTTAAATGCTAACTGTTTAAATCATAAAATAACCAACTTGCGTATTATATATACATGCATTTAAAATATTATTTCAGCATTTTGTCTTATCTAGCAGCATTTAAATTTTTTT